TTTCGCTTGCGCCCGACTAATGGAAAAGTACCATTTTTTGTTTGGCAGTAGTGTAGAATTGGGTGCTGCTTCTATTTTTAAGTGAAAGTAGATTGGTGTGTACATGGACAAAGGGAGTGTGCAATGCTGAATTTGTGCAATTCTGTGATTTTTTTATTTTTTTTTAAAGTGAAAATAGATCGATGTGTATTTGGACCCCGAGTTTGTGTAATTCTTTGATTTGTTATTTTGCTTTTGTGTAACGACCATCTTGAAGTTGTGCCTTGCTGGCCAATCACCAATTTTCGCCAAGGACCACCCTGAAATATATTTTCACCATTTAATGTTATTGATCCAGTACGAGCTGTTCGTGTATAAAATGCGATAAATGGTGGAGTAAAAATCATCAAAGCATGGTTCACAATCATCTTGATTCTTACCTCATTAGATTCATGTAGTGAAAAAATGCTTCTGATGCATTATCGAAAACTACTGGGGAGATATGGCAACAACAAAGTGTATTTGAGAAGTAATCATGAACTTGGTGATAATCCTGGCATCAGTTTGATATTTAAAAATAAAGGTCGTTATAATAATCCCTATACATATAAAGTAACCTATAGATGTTCTTCTATACTAGCAGAATGACTCCATTAATGATGTTCAAGTGTAAAAGGATTTATTTTTGCAATTTAAAAAACTGCTTAGCATATAATGTAAATATTGAGCAATTATAATAAAAATATTTTACCGTAATATGAAGGGATTTTGTACATGATAGTATTAAAAAATTGCTGCATTTAAATAATTTTTATAAAGGGTATTTCTTTGAATAAATATATTGAAGCACTACAAATACTTGTAATTTAGTATAGGTTTTTCAAATTCACATTATTTGTGAAAATAGAGATAGTGGATGGCACATTAACTATACAAAGATTATAATATTGATAGAAGATTAAGAAAAGCATAGTTTCAGTTTCATTTTAGTTCTATTGGTTAATTAGAAGGTACGTTTGTTTTGGTTTATTTAATTATGGCAAAACAGTCAGGAGTTACCTGTGAAGTGGAGGGATGCCTTCATAGAGGACTTTGTAAGGGAAATTTACTCATATAAAAAAATTACACATCTGGAAAATCGTGCAGATGCCCATACAGCTAGCCTATTTGCTTGGAATTGAATCTAGATTCAATAATAGTAGTTCAGCCTGGTTGTTTACCGTTCAGTTGCTGGTGGGTCAGTTGATTAGAAGTAATTTTGTCTTAAAAGTAAGTGATTTTTGTGCTAATTTACTGATATTTATATGTAGTATTATTATGTGAATGTATGCTATTGCAATACTTGCAATATTATAAGGAGAGGCAATCTATCATTATCTTATCTGTATGCTGTTAAAAGTAAATTTGCCAGGTTAGCCTGTTTTTCAAACTTTTCTTTGGAACCTTGAAAATAATGTAAATTTCAATTCTTTTTATTTGGATATGCTTTTGACAGATATTCTGCGAGTTTTGGAAGGCTTCATACCGTCATTTGAAAAAACATTTTGAAATTAGACACATTGGTAACATTTTATTTAAATGAAACTGAATAAACCCGTATTTCAAATAATCACTGTACATCCTGCATTTTTTCCGTTAGATTCAGATGTGATGATAGATGAATTAAAAAAAAAGAACGAGGATAAGAACCAAAACTCTTTCCCCCCTTCCAGTTTGAGAACATTCAAATCAAAAGTGTAAAGTATAATTAAAGTAAATAAGTTTTCCAAAAGAATATTTGTAATTTTTCTTTAGTGTTTGAATATTCAATTGAATATTGTTTCAAAATTGTAAAAAGAATTAATAGCATTTATCTTTTTAAATTACCATTTTTAATAAGCAAGTTAATTTTTTCAGCTAAAATCAGAAGAAATATTTTTAACTCTTTATATTACAAAACATATATAAATTAATAATAAATTTACATGAACCAAAGTAACATGAGTCAAGATAGTGTTTGAAGTTTGGGCGACCAACTTCAGTGCATGGCTGACATCTATGGTGCATGGAATTTTGAATATTCTGGAATATTCCAGGCATATCTCAAATTCCCCCTGCAGCTACTATGATTCGGGTACGAACATTATGGCTGAAATATGCAGGGACCCCATTGTATGTCACACCAATTTTGTTCATCATCTAAAAGTTATGGCATGACTTGTTGCAGAAAGATCAAGTATTTACAACCTGTTTGACAAAAAGGCAACAGGTAAGGTTGGATGAGGTTTTCTTCCACAATTCCGACCCAAACATTAACCGACTCAGCGCTGCACGATGTTGTGTTGCATGAGGGTTCTCTACCAGAGATGGGCATTATGTGCATTGAATATTCCTTCCCTTGTGAAGGATGCCTGATTGGTGAGCAGCATATTAGCATGGAAATGGTGATCTGTACCACACCTTTCAAGGTAACCATTGTGCAAAAGCAATATGAGGTGCATAATCACCTGGTATTTAATTGCCTGGATATGTTGCACGTGATACGGATGCGTTTCGTTTTCTCTGAGATTTTCTCAGATGCTGGAATGGGTAACCCCAACTGCATGTGCTATACTTTGCACACTCAATTTTGGAGTACCTGTACCTGATGTAGCACATTCTATTTGATGTCCAGAATCCGTATTGATCATGCCCGATTCATGGCAGCTATTTGAAAGGCACCTTTTTCAGTTAAACTCCAGTGCAGCTTTGCGAAGATATTATGGCTGGGTGGTTATAAGATGTCATTCCGTGTACAAGCACTGCACGGTTGGCCCATTACAATCTGCAGTCCCATATGCCAAATGCATATCGGCTAACTCCGTGTTCATATAATTATTCATTCTAGTAACTCTACTCCTTGAATGAAATGAGTTCCCTGCAAGAACTCTCGGAACTTTTGCTCGACGCCATCTACCACATTAGAAAAGCATTTTAGACCCTGCATTGCTGTATGATTCGGAGTTATGGGGGTGCACCCTAATCTTAGAATTTCTGAAATGTGGTACTGAGACATCCTGTATATATGTGTGGAATAGATTCTGTAGTAGAACACAGGTTTTTGAATCCATAATGGAGAGCAAGAATTTTCATGTGGTAGAATGCTGAAACTTCGATCCACAATGAATCAGAGATTTGGCAAGCAAGGTACATTTAATTCAACTTTTTTTTATTTCAGTAAACATGTTGGGCCACAATCAAGTTGGCACATTAATTGTGGCTATTCCAAAAAGTTTATATTTTAGATAAGTTTGCAGTAAGATATAAGAAGCAGACAGACTGCAGTCCAGCTAGGCCAAAGTGTAGAAAGCAAATGCTTTATACAGTACAAAGTCTGTAATAAGGACGTCCATTGACCTCAAAGCCACAAACTTACATATGTGCGTTATGCGTTTAATGTTATGCTTGTGCGTGTAATGTTTATGCATGCATGCGCGTTTAATGTTACACATGTGCGTTTAGTGTTTACGCATGCGTGTTTAGCACAAAAAAACGAAGCAACTTAAACAACTTACATTGAAAGAAATGTTTAATAAAGTAAAAAAATAAATATTAAACTTTTTTTTTTTTTTTTTTTAAATTTTGATACCCTTTAGATCATAATTGCGTTGTATTTCATAAAACACGGTTTCATATTTTTAATTGTATAATTTCTGCATGCCATCGTACCAGATTTAAACTGATGATATATAATCCGGAAAAACCCTTAATCCGGAATCGCCCCATGAATTCCCGATGAATCCGGATTATGGACTGTATATCTTAATTCAGACTGAAATCTTAATTCAATGTGAAATCTTAATCCATACCGAGTTAGTTTAGGTTTTCAATGCATTTTGATTGAATAAAAATTACTATTGTCTGTTTTAGTTCCATTTACATCACCAGAATTAAGTAATTCATATGACATGGATTAATCTCAAAATGACGCAGTGCAGAGAAATTACTATATTTAGAATAGAGAAGGAAAATTAATTTATGCTGCTAATGTAATCTTTGCATATTGCTTATTTTTCATACACACACACGTATATATATGCACACTAACATGTTTGCTACTACTGATTGCAATAAAAAGGGAAGGTGCACAACTAGGTATAACAGCAGTCCGGTATACAAAATTTCAACATTCTACTGCTAATCATTTTTGAGTTATGCAAGACACATGTAAGTACTCATGTACATGTGTACATGTCAGACACATGCAAGTACTCATGTCATGAGAAAAATCCCTTTTGAATCCATTTTACAATCTGTTTGGGGGAAAAAGGAGGTCCTTTATTCTGTGTGCAGGCGTATCACCTGAATGAATTTGAGAGCAGTCAAAATGGATGTTTCCATCAAAATATGACACCTGGAATTTTTTGCAATTTCAGTACTTCATACAAGAAAGTAAAAATCATCTTTTCATAGAACAGTAGTTTAGTTTACTTTATTGCTTTTCTTGAAACATCATTAATTTGAGAAATGTACAGTAATGCTTTAACACCCATCCTATTTCCATGTGACATTTCATTTTCAGCATCTGAATCTGTACTGAGAGAATCCACTTTTCCGTCAGTAACTAATCTATAGTAGGATTGCTTCAGAGCTCTATTATAGAATTAGAAGTAGATAAAATACATGGTTCCATTGTAGGTTATAGAGAAATTATTATAAATAAATGGTAAATTGGTAAATTATTATATATTTTAAAAGAGAGTGTTTTATATGTTTTCAGACCCTAAACATCTGAGTAGCGTGGCTTTTTAGTGATAAAGACTTGTGTTCAGTTAAATCTGTATAATTAGTTATTATAACTTTGGTCTTCATAAGCATAATTCATTAGAACAATAGTGCGATCATTAAAAAATAAGGACCCAAAATATTATAAATAATATATACCTAATAAAAATTAATCTCATAACCAGATAAAGGTAGTCATGCAGCTCAGAAGTTATTATTGATAATTTTCACATTGAGATATTTCTGTATTACATACTTCTGTATTGATTGTACTGCAGGCAGGTGGAGGTGACCGAGCTGGTGGTGACAAGGAAAAGAAAAGGAAGGAAAGTATTGTAGACCTGTCAAAGTATTTAGAAAAGCCTATTCGTGTAAAATTTCAAGGAGGAAGAGAGGGTAATTTAGATTTTGATGCAAATTGAAACTTAAATTTGGCATTGCACTTACAAATTAAATTCTGAGAATGCATATATTTTGTGTGTATGTTTAATGTATGTAATGATGTATTAATGGTGTATGTAATGAACATAATGAATTTATTTGTGATTGAAAGTTACCATATAATGTTAATCTGGCAAGTGATTTTTCAGAAGACTTTATTTTATGTCATATATTGATTGCACTAGATACAGCTCTTTAACCTGCAATGTATTCATTACTAATATTTAAAAAAAAAATTAAAAACTGTTTAAGACTTATATCATATGTAATTTTTTTTTTTTTTTTTTTTTTTTGTCAGCTGTAAAAATATGTGTTCTTTTTCAATTCTGTATATATCCTCAATGTATCCAGTCTTCATCTACAAGAAATATTATGCATTATTATCAGTCTGTTCAAAATTATTTTCACATCTATTACTATAGATTAAATTTTACCACAGATATTCCCCGTGTTTATCATAACGCTGCTAGTTTAAGATTTAACAATTATGTGACTTAGGAGCCTGCTAATCTTAAACTCTATAATATTCTCTTTTATGTTATGTTTATTTTAAAAGTTTTAAAATATTTTTAAAAATGTCTAAAATGTGAAATCCAGAAATATCTGTATACTTCCCTATTTCAGTGTTGGTGTGTTAGACTCGAGATTACAAGGTCCGAGGATTGAATCTCACTAATTGCTATTAATTTTTGGAAGCTTTTAATATAATTATCTTATTAAAAGATAATTTAATAGTGTTATGAAATGTCCAGCCGCGGTAAGACAGCTTCCGTACAAAGCATTTTTAGGGTTGCCATATATGACAAGAAATTGTCCATTTGGCAACAAAACTGGCAATATGCCATATAGGAATGGAGAACCTTCTGGAACAAATTCTCAAGCACAAGCCAAAAGCTATATAAACCCTGCTGGTACACAGACAGTCAGTCAGTGAGTGAGAGTCAGTTAGTCAATGCCTAGTCCATCGAGTTGGTCGTCGGCTGTATCATGAGTTGGTACATCGAGAGTTTGCATCGTTGAGACTGTTGAGTGTATTATGTATAGATACTTGTTGCAGCAAGTAATTTAGTATCTTCATTAGAGTAAAGCAAAAAGAATTATGATGAGAGTATTAAAACTTTGAAGGAAAGATTTGGGAAAAAAGAAGTGATAATTAGTCAATTCATGAACAAGTGATTAAATGTGGTACCAATAAAGAATGCTAGTCTTAAAGCTTTCAGTGAAATCACAACTGTAGTTTGGAATTTGAAACTGCAAGGTGTTATGAAAGGTTCATTTGGTCAGCTATTAATACCTGTGTTATTAAAAATCTATCTTAGAAAAGTTCATATATGAATTTAAACAAAGGGGGGAAAATCAAACAAAGAAATTACTGCATCAGATTTGTGTATTTCATAAAACTTGAAATTGAATGTTGTGAGGCATCAAATTTGCAAGAGGAAAAAAATGCTTTGCCTCTATGTTTTAAACATGCTAAATTTGATTGTAAGAAATTTCCAAAAATGCATGCATGTGGCACAGAATATTGCATTCTATGCTTTTGCATTATATTTTCATTCTGAAATAATTTGTATGCAATGTAACAATCCTATTACGATGCACTTAGTACTATTTTTAAATGTGTGAATATAATTTACAGTTCAACTCGACCAGTATTGTGATTTTATAATTGCAGTGTACAGAAAATTTTATACATTACATTAAAGATAATGAAGGGATTGCGACTAGTGTTTCTTTATGCATTTGAATTAAATTTTCGTGACCCCCAACACTTCACTTTGCGACCTCATTTGGGGTTGCGACACACTGTTTAAGAAATGTCGTTTTAGAATAAAGTATTAACACAAATGTGAGCAGCCAAATTTTAACATTATTTTACTAATTAAAAGAAAAACATGCCAATGTAGAATTTAAATTAAGTTTAATTCTTCCCCATCCCCCCCCAAAAAAAGAGCTTAGTTTGGTGCAGATCTTAAATAAAATTCAAATTTGTAAAACAGCTGTAGAGAAATATGATGTCATAAGGCGATAGCAGTGCCCTCACCGGAAGTAAAAGCTAGTTAGGTTTGTAGAATTTTCCATGTGTTGACTAATTAACTGTACAACAGCTACTCAAATTTGAGTTTTATCCAAAATCTATTGTAATCTAAGGTTGATTTTTGTCTAATTTTTAATTATGTTAAACTCTTTGTTGGCAGAATGCAAGGTTAAAGTATTATTATTATGCCTGAATCTTCATATTATTTTTATTTTTTATTTATTTATTTATTTATTTATTTTATGTCTCACAAGCAGAGGATTTGGTGGATGATTAGCAAGGTTGTCATTTTCTGTATTTGGGAGCAGGTACTTACATATAGTACGTAGTCCAAAATCTGAATGTCAAATATCCAGAAGGATCTAGTCTCTGGACCACCAGTCGAAAATATATATATATATAAAAAAATTTTGAATGGAGACTATTGATTAAAAGCCTGCTTTTTCAGCAAAAGCTATGCGGTGAATGCGATTTTTCTCCCAGTTAACCGATTTTCCTGCCTGTCACAGTCAAACACCTGTTGGTTTAGGAAGTAGCACTGTGGTCAGTGACAATATATTGATTGATATTGGTCAAGGTCACACATTCAGCCCTTAAGCAGTTTCAGGAGGTAGCATTTTTCTGTCAGACCTAAACAATAAAAGAAGCCCCAGTGTTGCTATGTCTGCATGTCATCTTACTAGATTTTAATTGATAATCTAAAATACAAAAATATCCAAAATCACCAAAGTCGTGATGATTCTGGATCTCAGACGTTATTCCGTATTGTTTTTAGAAAATGAAGTCATAGCTATTGAAAGTATATTGTATCACATTTTTGGAGATTTGTCGTATGTTAACTCTGCAGGCATACTAAATAGTTAAATTGCAAGATGTTTGTACAAAGTTGATATTGTGCAATTAATTGAACTTTAGCAGTGCTTTCGTTTTGATGCTTAATGTTGTGCTGTTATTTGATTTAGCTTCTGGAATTTTGAAAGGATATGATCCACTGTTGAATCTTGTGCTTGATAATACAACAGAATTCCTTAGGGGTAAGTTTTATATTTTTTTGACTTACTATACATATGCATGACTGTACTTACTCTACATATACGTGAATATGAATACAATTTTTTAAATTATATTCATATTCACACATATATTAAATATTGCTATGAATTTTGTTTGTATGTAAATAATTTTAGTGAAATTGTATTTTTTGTATAATATGAAATGCTTTAAAGAGACAAAGCTTTGCCAGAGAAATGAGATTACAGTGCAATTAAAGTAAATGACTAGTTTGCTAAATTTGCAAGGTATCACCAAGTTTTCTATGGTTTTGGTGTCTGATTTTTGCTCCAGATTTGGTTAGAAATCACCAAAAGTCACCAAACTTGGTGATAGTTTGGTCTGATCCCTGTGCACTATAATGCTTTGCAAATGAATAACTGTAATTGATCCCTAATATGTAAATGTATCCGGCCCCCATATTAAACTTTCCAGTAATTTCAAGAAGGTACTAGAGATTTCTTAGCTGCCGGGGGGTCTATACAATGGCGGCAAGAACATCAGTTTCTCATTTCTTAAATCAGATCTGACTTGAGTACTGAAAGTATTGTGAGCTTCGTTGTTTAAATGCACTTTGTTTAATGTTCTTAGTAGTTTGAAATGTGTACTGTGTAATACTGAGAAGAGCTGCGCAAGTATTTTTTGTGAAATGTTCAAGAACTATTAAGTGTTTCTTTTAGTAAAACAAGTTTTATCAAGCTGTCATTGATTCTGTGTGTATTCAAACCATTAAGAACGTATGCACACAATGCCTTTTGGTGTCAGAAGCAGGGCTATGGAGTCGGAGTCAGGCTGATTTAGAGGTAAAAGGAGTCGGAGCTGGAATCGCTAAAACACGTCCACTCATTCCGACTCTAGTTTTTGTTGGACAGTTTGAATTTGAAATGAAATTAAAGTGAATTAAAAAAAATTAATGACAAACTGAGTTAATATTTTTATTTATGGCCTAGGTATAATAAATAGTTTATTTTTATTTTATTGACATATTAATAAACAAATATAAGGGAGGAGGATGGATGTGATATTTGCCATTATTGATTAAACTGGTTCATTTAGTTACAAATCTCATTGGCAAATTATAGTAAGCAGCAAGAACTCCCGAAACTGATGCCATTCTTAGGAAGCGAGCAGGAAAAGGAGCAATTATTGATAAAGCAGCGCGATGGGAAAGTACATATTTGATAATAGAGGTTGTTAGAATTAACAACTCTTTATAAGATGTAGATAACCCTAATGTTTCACTAACAGAAAGACTGTGAAATGATCTTGCAGAATTGGAAACTCTTCTTTCTACACCGTATATAGCCACAAAAAAGCTACAATCTGAAGAACTAATAGGAGGTAAGAATGTTAGAATGTGATGTTTGTTTTTTCTGAAATGGAGGGTTTATTGCATAAGGAATCATTTCTCCAATGAAGAAAAGAGACACTACTTTGCTAGACAAGGAGATCTTGCTGGGTTCAATATATGTAGATCCAAAACACCGAATTTTGTTCGATGACAAAGAGATTAAAAAGGCGTAGAAAGCCATCTATGAACTCTTATTAAGAATGAAATTATTCTCAGAACAATTGGAGTATTCAAAATCAGTACATTCAAACTGCAGACATTGCAACTGAGGCTGTATCATCCTCTTCCAGTGTTGAAATAGATTTTGAGAAATATTTGGATAATATTGAAAAGGCTAAGGCAAAGCAAATGAAAATAAAGAATCAAGAGCCTTTAGATATAAAAACGAAAAAATACAAACAAGATTTCTGCACTGCCTTTGAAGAAATAGAGAAGTATGATTTCTCTTGCAAGATACCATTTTTAGAACTTATAAAAATCTATCCTGAAAAGCTAAAAGAAGTAGCCCTAACAGTAACAGCTCTTCCTCCTGCTTAAGTCAGTGTGGAAAGACTCTTCTTAATTCTGAAGTTTATTAAATTGGATCTATGGTCCTCTAACAAAGAAGATCATGCCGAAGTTATACTTTTTCTTAGAAGTTACTAATGCCAGTTTTTCCACTTCATAATAAATGCTAATTAATATAAATAATTTGCTATGCCATCAATTTTTTTTCTGTAGCTTCTGTTACTTTTTTATATTAAAAAAATAAGCTGTAACTCATGTGTATATGTTTACATATATATGAGGGAGTCAGAGTTATTGAAATTCCAGGAGTCGGATTTGGTCATTTTCCCTACCGACTCCATAGCCCTGGTCAGAAGTGGTATTGAATGCTTGTGACAAGAGCAATGGAGGAGCAATTAAGGCAGCTGCTGGCTGCTTTGCTGTATCCAAAATCCAAAGAAGAAATGAAACCTAGCCAAGAAATAATTTAAGCGGGTCGAGAGGAAATGAAAAGAAAAATTACTGCTATAATAGAAAACATATATGAGGCTGTGGAAGGCAGAACAGACACAGTTAAAGATACAGCTCGAAAAATTCAAGAAAGAGTTTCTGCTGTCAAACAACAAGTTGTTAGAGATGAGTCTGAGCAGGTGCATTGTGGAGAAATTTTAGAATCTATGTATATTATTTAGAAGAGAAAAAAAATATTGTAGAATATATCTGATCTACTTTAATTGTAGTTAAGAATAATTCATTTAATGTTGTACAGTCAAAAGTCTTTAATCCGTACTCATCGGGACTTCGGCAATTTCAGATTATCGATTTTTCCGGATTATAGATCATCAGTTTAAATCTGGTAAAATGGCATGCAGAAATTATAAAATTCAAAATATGAAACCATAATTTATGAAATAAAGAGCAATTATGATCTAAAGGATATCAAAATTAACAAAAAAAAAGCTTAATATTTATTTGCTTACTTTATTAAACATTTCTTTCAACGCGCATGCGTAAAGCATATGTTACGCATAGTCGAAATTAGAAAATTGCAACCAGAAAACTATTTGATTTGTATTCGTGATATTTATAATGACGAGGAATTTGATTTAAATCATATCAAAGACGGAGTATATCGAGATGAAATACTACATTTAGTAAGGAATTATAAGCCGAATAAAATAAAAACATCTGCCCTGAAGATAAGGATAGTGCTGACAGATCAACTTGCAGTTCATTGCGCGCCGCAACGTCCCCCCCCCACCCGCAGAGCAGCGTGATATTGATAAACAGATTTCAGAATGGTTAGAGAAACAAAGGATATGCCTTTATCCATTTTTTTGCAGCAATTCCACTTTTTGTTTTATGGACATCGAAACTGCTTTCCCTTTGTAGATCCAGCATCGGAAATTCTATTTGACATAATCGAAAGTTCCAACTTATATAAAATTGCTTGCTCTAACAGTCTGCAAAAAATAATAAGCCGGTTCCAATTCGAAGATTAAGGAACAACGCAATCTGCAACATTAACTGAAATAGATAATTTTAGCATAGCTTATACCATCCGTTATACATTAAACGCACATGCATAAACATATTATGCGCATGCATAAATGCATATGTACATGCGTAAATTATTACGCGCATGCGTGAAGGTATTATGCGTTGACGCATGCACAGATAGTTTGTAGCTTTGAGGTCCGGATTAACGACTTTTGACTGTATATTGAAATCATTCACTGTGAAATAAATTTCTGAATCTTTTTTATTATCTTTAGATCCTGATGATGCTTATAAATTAACAGACGACAGGCGGTCTCTTGGATTGGTTGTGTGTCGAGGAACTGCAGTTGTTGTGATTTGTCCAACAGAGGGCATGGAGTCTATTCCTAATCCTTTTATTTCAAATGAAAGTTAATAAACTGTGTATCATTTTGTGTTTTTATAAAGAATTGTAAATTATGATTGTACTTTTTTTCCTAAATCATATCTTTATTTTTGTTAATAAACTATAGAATGTTTAATGTAGACAGCAACTGATACTGAATGTAATATGAATAATGATACAACTGATACTGAACGTAAAATGAAAGTAATTTTTAATAAGCTTCTTTGCTTTCTCTAACTATTTCTAGCAAATGCCTGTTAACTAATTGATGAAGCCAGTTCAAAAATACCTGCTATCAAAATGATCATAAAGTATTAATTTTATTGTTAAAAACCATTGTGAAGTATTCATGTGTGTGTGTGAGTATTGGAACCATAGCTAAAAATAAATTCAGGAAATTTGTTAATAATTCATCCCATTGAGAAATTAGTGATAGTATACCAGGAAGAATTATAGATACCAAACTAATATACAGAATAACTTGCACAAATATATCTTCATTATAACTGTTTAAACAACAACAGTAATAATAATAATGATAAAGATTAATATTAAATAATACAAGATAGGATTTAAAAATTCCTGGACTGAGTCTATAATATAAAAAATATTAGGAAATAAATTGCAGAAATGCATCCTCCTTTGAAATAAGACCCTTGTGCAACAATAAACTTTTGCCAGCACCTGTAAAGTTCATTGAAGCATGTATGGAATCCATTTTTGGCCATGTCCTTTAATTCAGCCTGCAATGCACATTTAACTTCATCTGAAGATTGAAATCGAGATCAGGTGAGTAAGGAGTAGGAGGCAAAACAAATGTTTTCGTTTTTCTAAGAAAGCCATTGACGAGTAGGAATATGTGAGCAGGAGCGTTGTCATGCAACAGCACCCATGACTGCTCAACCCATATTTTTGGTCTCTTCTTCCAGATCGACTCGCGCAAACGATGTAGAGTTCTTTGTTCACAGTGCGTCGTTCCGGGATAAATTTCAGATGCACAATGCCCTGGATATTGAATAATACAGTCAAATACCGAAAATCCGCTTTGCCTCTCAAAATATAAATATTCAGTTTATAGGTTCCGGAAACGCAACATTGAATGCAAAATATCAAAGAAAAAATACTTACCGAATAATGACATCATAATTACCGAATAATAATGTGTCATAATGGAAATACCAAATTATTGACATCATGATAAAAGGTTTTTTCCCCTCTAATCTGCTTCGAGGTAAGAAAGCAGACTATTCACTCAACTCTTCTTTCAAGTTCACAATTCACGTTGTTGTATTTTCTGAGCTTTGTTATTTCACGAGATTATTTAGTGCTGCCTTTTTTTTATCTGGATATTTTGTTAATAAATTAAGAATATGAATATTTTAAATTTCAGCCCTTTTTAATACAACTGCAAATAAGAAACGCACTCATGATTTTACTGCTTGCAAAGTTAAGAAATGTAAATATGTTGCATTGACGGTAATGCAAAAAGTGCAAATTCTGCAAAAGATGAGACAGGTGCATTTTATAGCAGAATCGTATGGAATTGCAATATGATTGTGTATGATATACGGAAAACTAAAGAAAAAGCTGTTGAAATTTTACAGCAACAGTGATTCTAACACTGAAATCTGAAACTGGAAATCTTTGCATGAGGCAAAATCGGCAAACCTCGATCCTGTGTATATATAATACTATGAATAATATAATCAATTTATATATGTTATAATAATTTAGCACATATATTAAGATATTGCAATAATGTATATAATAATTTAATTAAATGTATCTAATACGCCTTATTTATTTTGCACTTTTAGTCTGAATATTATGATTTATCTTTTCTGTCCTGAAATCCTAAAATCCACACAATCTCTGGTCTCAAGTTTTGCAGATTTCTGGACTTCTACTGTACTTCTATCATGACCTTTCCTTTGGAGCGATCTTAGCGGAATTTCTGCTTCCTTAGAGACTGGTGATTTCCACATTACCGATGCTCTCATGGTTTGCGGGTCATACAAAGCACATCATTTCTCGTCTCCAGTAACAATTCTGCCAAGAAAGGAAGGATCTTTGTCAACAGTCGAGATTAAGTCTCCTGGCATTTCCATTCGAATTCCCTTTTGGTCTACGTTTAACATGTGGGGAATGACGTGTTGACACACCCTATGCATGTTAAGATCTTTAGTCAGTATCCGGTGATGTGTGGCTTCTGATATCCCAACTGATTCTGCTATTTGGCAAATTGTTTGCTGCCTGCTCACACGTACTGCCACGGACACGTTTTTGATGTTTTCATTGGTGCGTGAAGTCATGGGATGGCCACCGCATTCGTCGTCTTTGGCACATTCCCTGCCTTTTCTGAAACGATGATGCCACTCAAAAGCTTGCACTCTCGATAACATTTCACTTCCGTACACATGCTTCAACATTTCAAAAGTCTCTATAGTGCTCTTTCCCAAGCGAACACAAAATTGGATATTGATTCTTGGCTCAACTGACATAATTTTTTTCTATCACAGGTTACTAAATGCACCTGCCTACAAAAAACGCTGTCACCACGAACTTTCGACCACAAATTTGGGACAAACCACTTTTAGAAAAGGGAGAAAACGTAGTAACACAAAAATGTTGTTCTCATAGTCGCACTACTAAAAAAAAAAAAAATGTGTTATAGACTCAGTCCGGGAACTTTAGAATCCTACAACATATTAGTATGATTATACTATTTTTTTCAATGATTAATTGACTGATGGCATTTGAGAGAAATGCAGATATCCATGCATCATGATAGATCGTACAGCATAATGAAAAGGAATTTTATAACATCTCAGCAGCATACAGTGAATTATCCAAATTATGACAGTAGTACTTTATGTAAGTTGTGGTATTACTGCATTGCACATTCAGGCAATTAATTTTATATGAAATCTGAGTGTCCTATTTTTCAAAATGATCTAATATTTAGACATTCACATCATCAGGAATTTTTTCTTCCTGTACAAAATCTAGATCAGGAATTTTTTCTTCCCATACAAAATCTAGGAAGGGATGGTATAGTACTCGACAAGTAGAAAGTCTGCCATGAATGTAATTTTTTTTCTGAACTAACTGGAATTCCTGCATGTCACTTTCAAACACCTGCTAAATAGGGAATTGTACCCTGGCATATGACAATACATTGAATAGTATTATATTGATGTTGGCCACACTCACAATTTTTTTTTTTTTTTTTTTTTTTTTTTTTTTGAGTGGCTGGGGTAGGTTAGCAATTTTTTATCTGACTAAACCATAAATGAAACCCTAAGACATATTTGTTTTGAATGAAGTAAAGGTTTTCTTTTGTTGCCGTAGCAGTGGAAAGGGAAAAAGATTCTGAAGAACTTTATTTCAACTGACAAACAAATTGTGCTATTTCTTAATTTTCTTGTTTGACCCAACATATTATTTTTTGCAGGCAATTATAATTATGGTCACCTTATCAAAAATTAAAGTTTGAATTTTTGATAAATGTCAAAAAGAGTGTCTAATTCTGAAGCTGCATCAGAATATGCGTAGCAAAAGCATGTTTTGATGGTAGTCAAGCAGAAAGTGGATGTGGAATTGGTGAAAACGAAGGGATAAAGAATATCTCAAAATTATGTGAGAAATGTGGCATCAGAAGTCAAAAGTATATGATATGAAGAATTTTTTGTGGATTTCGACACCCCACTTGCAGTGAATAACAGAAAAAAATCATTTGTTTGGCTGAAAAGGAAAATTGTGACATCGAGAGTGTGTCATTGACAGATTCAGTGTTAATAGCTCCAGCCAAAACATTTCATGAAGAAAAGGGCTTAAAATAGTCTGTACCCATATTAGGATGTACATTTACTAAAATCACAATAATACTAAGCAGTTAAAATTCCAGGTGATAAAAGTTTCAACTGATACATAGCAATATGCACATGTCTTCATTGAGCTCGTTAATAGCAAAACATTATCTCCATAACAATAATGCTAATGAAACTAGTCTTTTCTGGCTAATATGCCCCCAAATGTCTGGGCAACATCTGCGGACAAGACCTGAACTGGTAATAGAGACTCCAAAGCAATGCTAACAATTTAGGCATGTGCAAACGTTAAAAAACTTTTACTTAAAAAATAAAAAAAGGTAAGTGTAAATAACATTCACTATTTGTTTAATGAATGTCTCAGAAAAAGCATGACGTGAATAATTAAGGAGCAGATTATTTAGGACAGTTTTTCAGAATGCTAAAGTGTGATAGAAAAGGAACAATTAAAATAAAAACGGTCCATCAATCTGAGCAATAAGACATACTGCTTTAATTTGGATCTTTTGAATCAGTCAGATGAGACAATCTTTGACAGATTCAGACACTGTAGACATAATGACCTGGTAGAAGTAAAAGATGATGATAAATTGATGAATGTCTATAGACTTTCTTTCCTACATTGTTCTTGTGTTTCTTATTACTAAAATGTCTAATACACAATGCCACTGTAGCAATCTTTAAGTCCTCTTGCATTCACTTCCCATACCTTTCTATTAACTTAAGATTCTTTTATGACAATGTTCCCTGGTCAAACTCGTACGAGTACCTAGGAGTTGTACTTGATTCCAAATTATGTTGGCATCTTCATATTGACTCTTCACTCAATAAGTAAACTATGTCAGAACCCAGCTTGATCTCTTTTTAACTCGAGAGAGCCATCTGTCAGTTAAAAACAAAACTGTTCTGTACACTGTCATTATAAGACCAATATTTATGTGTGCGTGTACCATATGGGATACCGCTTCAAAAACTTATATAAACAAATTCAAGCCTTTCAAAGTAAGACACTTCAATTAGTCCTTAATGCAGCCTGGTACATCCATAGTGATGTGATTCATTTGAATCTGAACATTAAAAACCTTGGTGAACATTTTTTTCACAAAATTGAACAGATTGATAACCGTGCATTAGAACAACTTCCTGCTATTTGCAGTTTCCAAAAGTGACCTTGCATCATCATTGACCAAGACCGTGGCATCTTTCTGCCTGCAAAAAGGCATACACATGGCTTCACTTCTTGAGTTCCAGTAGCCGCACCTTGAAGGGCAGACGTCTCGCATGCCACTCTGCCATAAAATTGCTTCTTATCTCAACTACTACTGATCATGAACAGAGGCCTCATCTGCATTGTTATCAGTCTGTTCGCTAAAGAGTCACATCTTTCCCACAGATTTTATTTCTGCACTGGATATTTCCATGTGTTTCCATTACTTAATTGCATTATGATTTAGCACCATTGACCAAAGAACCTATTAATCATTAATATCTTTCCTATCCACTTTTTGTTTTAGTGTTGTACTGTGTATAAAAGTACCAAAAAATGAGTAAAACCTTTAAAAACAAAAACAAAAAATCAAAACTTATGATTTAAAGGATTTTTTTTCCTATACCTACTCTCAGAGCTGTAGCTAGTGTTTTTAGTGGCACCCCATGGATGCTGTGCCCAGGAAAAGATGTCCCTCTTGCCCCACCCTAGCTATGCCACTACCTACTCTTTCTTGAGCCATGTAGCTCCCTCTCTCTAATTTTTTGCTTTCTTACTAGTTTTATGTAATTTTCCTTTTTCTGCTTTCTAACTAGTATATTCTGATGTGGAGGTAAATAGTTTTAAACCATAGTACTCTCTGTAAAACATAATTCTTGGTCCTTTGATAGATTCATTGCCTTTCCTATCTTGTGAAGTTATATAGTATATAAATTGTTTTTGATTTAGGAAGACTATCACAACTGTAATTATATGTATGAAAAATTAGTTTGGTGTCAGTATTCTACAAAAATTTTCACTTAAGATTACTTGAAAAGAGATATTTTTTTTACTAGAACCATATTTAACATTCTAAAGTAACGTTTGATTGCATTACAAGTATGAATAAAATACTGTCATTATCCTTCCTCCAAAAAAAGGCATGTTAAATGAAAAAAGAAGTGCAAATCATTAATTAGTAACAAAGATACGAGTACAATAAATGCAAATAATTTTGATTCAGTTCACTGTAAGAATTTACAAATAAGTTCATTTTTAATATTTACTGAAGATTTTTCTTTTTAGTCCAATTACAAAATATTCACAAATTTTAGCATTTGAATAAGCATGTTTTCACGGTTTTCGTTGTAAATATAGCTGTTGTGTTTTGCATTTCTTCAATCTCATATTTATTTACTTTTGTCAACACAAAATAGCATAGCTGTTGCTGAATGTCTGCTATTTCTTACCCTTGGTCATTTCAGCTTCTGCTGAAACCATGTGGAAAATTGTAAGACCAGATGTAAGTAAAATGGTTTAAAATTTTAAACCATTTTACATGGTTAAAATTTTAAACCATTTTACATGGTTTAAAATTTTAAACCATTTACGAATTTTAAACCATTTTACATGTAAGTAAAATGGTTTAAAATTCGTTGCCTTTACAGCATCTCCCCAGCAGATAAGTTTTTAGAGAAAGGGGGTTTCTTTGGAAAAGTTTGACTCAATCAAGCGGAGCACTTGTCACGATCGCACATGTACAACAATACTATAAATACCCTAGAGTCCTCCTGCTTAACAAACTTGAGTCAAGAATTTTACATCTAACTAACAATTTTAACTGGCCCTGACATAGAAATTAAGATTTTGTAAAATTTGGTTTGTCTCAGTTCTGTAATATTTACACTTTTCTAAATTCATCTAGTTATATAGTGTACTTTCGAAATTTTAAATAATACACAGTTTAGGTACTAAATTGGCATTACAACTGTCTTTAATAATTTGTAGCATTAAGCATTTTTATATGACAGTTCTGAACACTTCATTAAAACAATTGAGTCTAGACTCTTTTTTTTAATGATGCAATTGATCATTTTCTTCATACTACCCCTGACTCCTGCTTTGCACAGATGAAGGTGCCGCCACCGAAACACACTACAGCTCTTCACTCCATTACTTCAAAGACTGACCACTGACTTTACAATCATGGAATTCTTAGCGTTTTTCTTCTGAAAAGCTTACTTTCTACAAACTTTGAATTTTAAATCACTATCAATAGCTGCGCTATTCTTCATTCTATCGAAGACTAGACATTTATTTATGCATTGGATAGGGATATGGCGTTCAGCTGAGGAATTTAACTGGAACTAATTAGTATATGGAACTGATTATTTTATGCTACCTGTGTGTGGCTAAGTGCATTTGCATTTTTATTTTATGTTCCTAAGTTCGATCTTATTCTCAAACGGTTGGCTATATAGATACCCTTTGATTTGCATCTGAAGGAGAATTTAGCCACGCGAGAGTTTGATGATCCGTTTGGATACTAAAGGCCTTATCCGTTTGGATCACTGGTGAGTAAAACGTCAATTATTTCAGAGCAATATGTTGGCCGCATACTCGTTCATTTATG